TCTTCGCCACCGTCATCAGAATCAGCGCCAACAGTATTGTCATCGTCGTCCTCGCCACCGTCATCAGAATCAGCGCCAACAGTATTGTCATCGTCATCCTCGCCACCGTCATCAGAATCAGCGCCAACAGTATTGTCAGCGTCACCGTCCGTGTCGTCTTCACCTTCGATTAGCTTTGCTCCCAATGGTCCAATCTGATCGAAATATCGTCCCTTCGTTTGTCGAATTACGTCGACTGTTTCTGTACTTGCGTCAGTGCTGTCCTCTGGCGGTGGGTACGCGTCGGTGTCTGGTTTTGGATCATGCATTTCCTTGTTGGTATTTTGTGGAGAACGTGAGACGTCTGTTTTCTGCCCGTTGCTATTAGTGACGTCATCACCTGTTGAATATTCTTCACTCACGTTGTAACTCCGTGAGTTATCGTCTGCGTTGTCACTGCCGACCACGCCATCTGTTGGAGACACGATCGTATCCTCTATTACAGCACTACCTCTTCCGAGGCCGGCGCCATTAGAACGTTGCGCGGAGACATCGTCGTCTTGTGGAGGTGCCACGTTGCTATCGTCATTATTGGCGTCGTCGCTCCTTGTGGTACTGCTCCCGTGTGTTTCATCGACAACGATGTTATCGTCAGTGTCGGTGCCGTCGCCCTCTGTCGTGCGGCTGCTCTGCAAATCATCGTCAACGTTGTTATCGTCTATGCCGGTCCCGTCGCCCTCTGCGGTGCTGCTGTTGTGCGTATCGTCGCCAGCACTGACGGACAGCGGCTCAATGACTCGTGTCTCAATGTTGTCATCGGAGTCCGCATCCACAGAATCATCTACGAGCGACTGGTCACGCGAAATATCGCCTCTGCTGCCAACTACGTTCTCATCACCGCCAGATACATGCGCTCGCAAAGGTCCTATCTGCTCGAAATATTTTTTTGTCTTCCTGTTGCCACGTCCCGTGATCGAAGGCTTAGAATCGTCGACGGTGGCGCCGGTGCCATGATTGACGGCTGCGTCGGTGCTGCCCTCTGACGACGGGTTAGAGTCAGTGCGGGGTTCTTCGTGTACGGTAGAGGTTTCCGTGTTGGTTTCTTGTGAGGAGGGAAAGAGGTCTGGTGCCTGGCGGTTGCTATCGTCGCTATCAGCTGCCGATTGTTCTTCGCTCGGGCTGACACTCTCGTCTGCTTCGCCTTCAACGATAGCGCCCTCTGTCGGTGACAAGATCGTATCTTCTACTGCAATACTGTCTCGTATGAATGCGTGGTTCCCGGACCCTGGACCGGCGGTTACTGGCTGGACAACGCCGTCATTGTCTGTGTCGCTATCGTCACGGTCGCCGACGCCGCCCACCGGAGTGCTACTGCTCTGTGTTGTTGTCGTAATGTTGTTATCTGTGCTGTTGGAAAGCGTGGCCTCCCCTTCTTCCGCCGGAACCGGTAATACAGTCGCGTTGACAAGGCGGTCGTCGGCGGATTGCGAAGACTCGGTGGTGATATCCTGCGCATGCGCACTCGCTACGGCGCTGACGATTATGAATGCTGCGTCCAGAAAAAAGAACCATGGAGAAATTTGGTGCCAAAAAAACACGAGACAGATAAAGATATTACCCCAAGATTTGCTTGCCAAATCCATGGCTGCCAAAGCCAAGGCTGTCAAAATTGGGACTGCTTTAGCACCTCGTACTAGGCGACCACTCCACAACCCGCTAAGAACCAAGCTACTAGCGGCAGAGAACCAACTAACCAACCAACCAACTAACCAATCAACCAGCTTACTCACCAATTAATCAAACAAATAACCAGCTCACCCACTAGCCAATTCACCAACCAACTAACCAACAAGCAAGCAAACAAACAAACAAACGTGTGTTCATAACTAAGAACGAAAAAGGGTTTAAAAAAATTCATAGGATACCATACCGAGCAAACCAGCAGAAGCTTTCATCTTCACCAGAATATCGTTCCAATATACTGAAATGAACAAGCAGACCAGTAAATTTAAACTCACAATCAACGCACACAATTGCTTAATCCAGTAACATATTTACCAAGGCCGTAGCTGGTGGTATGAAAGGGGGCAGTTGCCACAGAGACCTAGGAGACGTCAACGGCAAACTCCCCATGGCAACTAGGTGACACTAGGGCCCCTGTATATAAACATTTGTATATAGGGACCCTAGGTGACACTATAGAGCAGACTGTCGGCCACGATAAATGAGCATTATGATCTTTAATTGTCGTTGTGGGTAATCGGTATGTTAATATATAGTTAGACGCTCTCTTATAATCTTATTGTATAAGGGAGTCAATGCGATTTACATTTTTGATAGAAAAAGATTGCTACTCTATGTCGTCTCCTTTTTAAATTAATAATTCCAACAAAATGTGATTCCTTCTAGCAGATAGTAATCATGGCTTCATGCTCACGGGCGCATGTGACCTCATGCTCTATCGCACGTTTTAAGGTGGTTGACAATTTTACGCCTCGCTGTTATTGTAATGATTCTAGTTTTACCATCTATATTCAGCAGGTGCTATATATATACGTCTTCGCCACCGTCATCAGAAATCAGCGCAACAGTATATGCATAATATCAGGAGTTAATAAAGACAAATTTGTCTTTATTAACTCCTGATAATATGCTAATAGTGGACAAAGAAGCGTTTTGCTAATTGCTTGCACTTGTAGCGCATAGGTGGTGTCACTTATAGCGGATGAATCGGGATGAATATTGGTACACGAACACACTTCCTATACGTACTCGCATGTTTGGCCCCTGGCTCCGAGCATGCACTCTCGCGACCTCTGCCGGGATCCACAGCCACCACACGCAGTGCACTCGGACCAGGCTCCCCACTCCTGCCAGTCAGCTGGGCGTCGCCTGGCCCGTTCTTCCGCCATCATCACGGGAGAGAAGCGCGGATTGGAGGGCACGTCGTCGCTCCCATCGGCGGGAACGTCATCGTCGTCGCTGTTGCTGCTGGTATCGCCATCGTTGCTGGCATCGTTGCCGCTGTCGCTACCAGTATCGTCATTTTTGCCGTCATTACCAGTCATTTTATCAACAAGGCTTCCTACGTTCACTGTTTCCGTTTCATCTGCGTCTTGTGAAGAGGATCTGCTATCAATGTTGGAATTAGCAGATTCATTGACATCGTCAGCGTTTATTTCACTAGTGTCGTCCTCGCCAGTGTCATCATTGTCGTCCTCGCCACCGTCATCAGAATCAGCGCCAACAGTATTGTCAGCGTCGTCCTTGCCACCGTCATCAGAATCAGCGCCAACAGTATTGTCATCGTCGTCCTCGCCACTGTCATCAGAATCAAGCACGCCAACAGATTGTCATCGTGTTTCGCCACCGCATCAGA